AAAAAAGGAGTCTACTATACTACTGAGTATCTTGATTAAATTATGGTGCAAAACAAACAACAGGAGGAATCTGTCTAAGTCCCACCGATCATCCAAAAACCTACTCCTAGGTATCCTGTCTAACTCCAGCTCTCTCCCCATCTATACGGCAGGGCGGAGCCTAAGTAGGGTCCATAACAGAAATGCCACTCTCTTTTCCCAATGCCCGGCTGCCTCCTACCTGCAGATTCCGATCGAGTGTGCCTGGTACGTCTAGCTAGCTAACCACTCTGTGAACGTAACTACTAAGCCCCCCCCTATCTTCACTAACTTGTTCCCCTTTGCCCAGGTGTCTCAAAACCACCTAATGCCCTTACGGTCTTACCCCCTCCTGTGGCCCGCACGAACCTTCCTTCTCCAGTCCGCCAGAATCGTCCTTCTCAGGAGCAGCTTGAAGGTGGCCTTGATCTCCTCTGGTCCGGCATGATCTTCAACTGAAACAATGTTCTGTTCCTTTCTTTCCAGATCACCCAGAACCCGATTGATCGGACTGCCTGCGCGACATACCCCCACCCTTGGTTTAACTGGAACTTAATATTTGGTATTCCTCCTAGTAGGGCCCATATTCTGTCCCATTTGAACTCCCCTTCTGTGAACTCTTCCCGCTTTTCCGCCCACCATCTCCATATTCTTGAAGATGCAGGACAGTCCCACCATATATGGACCATCGATTCAAAGGTCCAGAGGCATAGCTTACATGATGGTTCTACTTCCAAGCCCCTGCTGAGTAACCAGACTGCCAAAGGAGTGGCCAGAAGGGATGCTAAGCAGAGCAGAGCCGCTGCCCTGGGAAACGGAGGATTCACCAATTGCTTCTGACATTTTTCCAGGGAGCAGGCTATTGTTTCTGTATCTTCTGTGCATACTTGTGCCTAGCGGGCCGTGGCCGTGCTCAATGGAGTTCTGTGTGCAATCTGCTTATTGCATTCCATCTGTGTAGAGTAGTCCCAGAGCTCTGCGGCCTACCCCTTGACTCCCAAACCTCTCCATGACCACTGTTTCGGATCGGCTCGGAGCTGGGCTAACTTGTCTCCGTTACTCCACGCCAGTGCCGCCCACTCCTCATCGTCATTCACTGCCTCCCGTACCCGAACCTGGGTTAGTAGCGGCGGCGGTCGAGGTAGTTCCTCCTCTTCTAGTTGGACCAGCTTATGTGCTGAATCTCCCTCAGAGTCTCTCTGCCAGTCTGAGAGCTGGAAGGTTCTTCTGCCGTCCGGTTGGATCTCCACCGACTTCCGAAATTGCCCGTCTTCCTCCAGGGGTTTCTCTGTACTCCCGTTGGTAAACCAAGTGCCCGGCGGGTCGAAGCTTGCTGGGTGTAGGATGTTGAGCCAAGATGGAATGCTCGTCAGCTTGTCTTCGATTCCCCAGCAGTGTTTCAGTTGGGTTTGCATTGCCCTCGTGGAGCGCCATTGACCTGTATCATAGTCCCAGAGATCTCTCAGTCTTGCTACGCCCTTCTCAATCCAGGAGCGGCCGAAGCTACCTGCTGTTGAATCTGCTCTGAACATCTCTCCGTCTGACTGCCTGATGAGGTCGTTCTCGAAGATGATTTGGGATAGTACCTCTTCTTTTGTCGTCGGTTGTGGCTGGTGGTCTGGTTTCACCTTCCTCCAAGCCGCAAGAACCGCTGACCAGAAGGGGGACGATATCCTCCTTCTCAGGTATGAATCTATCATGATACAGGTCCATACATCTTCGGGTCTTGTCAGGTGCCATTCTTTCTTCAGAATCCGTATCCCCAGATCTATCCATTTTTTTTTTTTGGTCATAAAGCTGATGAGAAAGATGAATGCTCAAACCTGTGCTGCAGATGTCATAAACCATACCTTCGCACTCCCCCTTCCCCCCCCCCCCCCCCCCCCCCCCCCCCCCCCCCCCCCCCCTCCAAACATCCATCCCGTGCATAGAGCCCAAATCACCCATCTTGCCAGCATAGCGTTAATCTGCTTGGTGGGATCTTCAGGTAATTGAACACCACCCCCAGACCCTGCACGGTGAAAGAAGGTGCCCTAATCCAGCGGCCTAGCTCAATTGGTTAGGCATGCAAGTGGCATTCAGGGGGTCATGGGCTCAATCCCCATGGCTGCATGTGGCACTCTTGGTGCCAACCAACTGAGATAGTCCGCTGGATCCTCCCAGTTGGTATCAGTAAGGTCTTCAGCCAACACGGGTGTGAGTGCGCGTGTGAGTGGCTTCCGTGTGGTGTGTGGGAGAGTGTTGGCTTTAAACACTACTGTTCCTCGATGGGGGTGGGGGAACTTCAAGATGAAAAGGGAGGCACAGTTACTGGCAAATAATGCTCGGTCCTTGTGTTAGCTAGCCGGGCCCCCACCGGCGGCCCCAACCCTGCACTCTAAATGCTAGCCTAAGGGCAAAGGGCCAAACATGCCGTTAACTCTCTCCACCCTCTACCGAGAGAGGTGACCTCCCTTCACTGAAGAGAGGTAGAAAGCTATGCTTGCAGGGGTCCCCTGTATAGCCTGCCTTAGGAGTAGCGGTAGGTAGGTAGTGAAAGAAAGATATGTTCCATGATGACATGGCAGAACGCCAGTTAAAAATATGTGAGGTCAGAGAAAAACATATGCCATTGGCTGTGCCCCGATGAGGAGGCCACTTCTTCTTTTTTTTTT